ATACATGTACATGTACATGACTTGCAGTTACTACTGTTCTGGCAACTGAAATCCGACCGCCTTGGCGGCGCGCCGCGCCGCCAAGGGGGTCGGATTTCAGTTGCCAGAACTGTAGTTCAGTTGTATAGGTGCCTCATGTTGCCTGATGACAGCGAAAGCATGATATCACCGGTGTGTGTAGTGAATGAACGATACCAAGACCACCACCACCAAGACCACCGAGAGTCCACAGCTGGAAGAAACAGCTGCAGTCAGTAACTGTTCGTGGCACTGACTCGACTGTTTACATTTGTCTAACATCGCTGCATGGACTACAATGCTGCCATGTACTTGCCATGTCATCATTATTCTAGCATGTAATTGTTTAGCAAGTCATAACTTTTTTTGCACTGTGTGAGTTGGGATGACGGCCGCGTCAGGACTGTCAGTGTGTGCCAGGTGCGAGTTGGCCCAATGATGACGCACAATTCGGAGCTCCAGTTGCTCAAAAAGCATAAATGCCGCAGACATTACAATTAGGACAATGCAACATGACTACAACTATGTACTAAGTTGTTACTAGTAGGCATTGGTGGATTTTGCTCCGGCGAAAAGGTGGCAGATTCTGCTCGAAAAGGTGGCGGATTCTGCTCGAAAAGCAGTGAAATTGGCAGAACCATACAAACCTTATGGCGGGCAATTCCTCGAATTCTGCTCCATTTCTTTATCCACATACTAAACATGCATGAAACTTACCAGAAAAAGTACCGAATTCTGCCAATTTTTCTGCCGGCAGAATCCGCTGGACCCTAGCTAGTACTTGTTGAGAGTTTTAGGTGTGTTGTTTGTTTCAAGAAACGTTAGCAACAGGGAACCCTACACATACGGTATGCGTAGGGCTCCCTGGCTAGCAATACACCTAAACTCCCAACAAGTTGCCATGTTGCTGCTGTTGTTGTTGTATTCCTTTATTTCAATTCGCTCAGGGCACAGGCAATACTGCCTTCTCACCGGAGAGAGGATTCTCCGATTCCTACCAAAAACGAGAGATGTGTTCGGCATTCATACTCTTTGAAAACGTTCAATGTGTGTGTGTGTGTGTGTGTGTGTGTGTGTGTGTGTGTGTGTGTGTGTGTGTGTGTGTGTGTGTGTGTAGCTTTAGTGGACTATTGTCTCCTCGCAGATTATTCGAAACGTTCTCCTAATAGAAAAGTATTTGCCCAGGACGATGCAAATGTGGCAGCACACACAAGGACCTGTCCTGCGAAGGTGGGAACAAAATGCACGCATGATCATGTACATGTACCGGTGCTACTACCGGGTAACACTGTGCCTTGAATGAATCAACTTTACTTTTAAACGTTAATATTTTACTTTTAAACGTTACATATAACAGATAAAAGAGGGTGCCATGCCGCTTGGCTGGGGGACTCCGGGTTTATTTTTGACGGATTCGAAGTTTTTCGAACACACCTGTACATGTAATACGATGTACAATGCTTCACTAACTCAATCTCTGGACAGCTGGCTCTACAGTCACAGTGCCCCAGCAGCAGTTCCGTTTCCCGTTCCTGTTCCAGTCTAGATACCTTCCCACGCCATGTGACAGTGTAGAGCAACCATCATGCTGCTGAATGCAATCCGATCGCTGGAGTGAAGTTTGTGCCGTTGTTTGAAAAATAGAAGTACAGTACTTTTATTGGGGATAATACGGCAGATGGGTAGGTATGTGTGTGTGTGTGTGTGTGTGTGTGTGTGTGTATGTGTGTGTGTGTGTGTGTGTGTGTGTGTGTGTGTGTGTGTGTGTGTGTGCGTGCGTGTCAGCTAGTTCGGTTGGTGGGTACACTTATGCCTGATTGTGTTGGGTCTGTTGCCAACGGGCTCGGCTACTTGAAGGTGTAATGTTGTATCTGCCACCTTTGTTGGTTCCAGGGTTCATATACTTTCTATTTGAAGTATACATACCTGTTAACCATAGACTGCTTCTGGCTAGATTAACATTATTTTTATTACTCTTGTGTAATCAATGGTGCTAGTGAAGCTTATATCAGATCCACTCTGATTTAGCCACCCACACTAGTAGCAAGTATTACCTTCACTGGGGGCAGCAGGGCCTGCTCTAGACATTCAACTCAGCCCGGTCAGAGTGTACCTGGCGCATGCAGGCCAGCCGGGTCAAGCCGGGTCAGATCATCCTGCAGAAAAACAACCAAAAAGCATGCTCAAAACGCAGGAAACAGAAAGGCGAATTTATTACCGGAAATCGGAAATTTTAGAGAACAAGGCGAACTATCAAAGTCCGCAAACGTAGAAGGTAAACGACATTATGTGAAGAATGCAAAGCAGTAACATAATAGAGCACTGGGGGGGGGGGCTGCAGCACCTTGTGGAGTGGCTGCTTGCTGCGACTGAATCACCTGCATGGCCAAGCCGACTGGCATCTGCTGCACCATCTGCTGAAAGGCTTCAGCAGACTGGAGAACTGGTGGAGTTGCAACTGCTGCTGCTGCTGCTGCTTGCGCTGGCGCTAAGTGACTGGCGCTGCTGGCGCTGCTGCTGGCGCTGCTGTTGCTGGTGGCGCTGGTGCTGCTGCTGCTGGTGCTGCTGCTGCTGCTGCTGCTGCTCTGGGTGTGCGGGCCAGGTCCCTCCGTTCAGACGAGGTTGACGTTGCAGTCATAGTGCGCCGAGTCACCTCAGAATGCCATGCAGCCATAGTCTTGTCGTAGTTGAAGCAGTGAGTTCTTACCTTTCAACCACGCATCGCAACCAAATCCACCGCCGCTCGTCTTCCTTTGGAAATGCGTCTTGCACAAAGCGCATGACATGGATAGACTGCCATGCCATGGTCGTAGTCCAGCCAGGGTTGACCTTTCTTCCAAGAGTCTTGGAAAGCGTGAGTTTTTTTTCTCTTCGCTGCGGGCTCCATCGTCCAAATCACCAGTCGGCTGAAAACTTGCAACTGTGTCAAAAGCTACATGTATAGCCAAAGTTACGCTTTTGACTACCTGCCCCATCGACTTCCTGCGTGATGTCCTGACTTCCTGCTCGCCGCTGGCCAGATCGCGCTCGAACCAGTTGACCCCAGTTGACCCTAGCCGAGTTTCTGTCGCTTGTAGACTGTAGTCTGTACGGTTGCGCTAGATTTGCAACAGATGGGGTCCGCGAGTCGTAAAATACGGGTATGTACGAAGTACAGGTTCCTGCACGAGTACAGTGAGTACGAGGGCAGTACCCCGGAATCCAGCCCGCGCCGCGATAGCGGCAAGGGCTGGATGAACAGCGGTACAGGCCGAGTATGAGTGACTGGAACGTGTTTCCCGTGTGCACCCAAGCCAAATAAAGAGATACATGACAGACACACCTGCATTGTGTTTTGTGATTGTTTTCTGGTACAGTTTTTTGTAGTAGTCCATAGTGCTTTTTTTCTCGCGGTGCCATTGTCGACTGGGCATCGGGCATTCTGGCTGTTCTGTTCCTACGTATTTTTCCCACGTCTTGATCGGAAACCTCGGCAAATTGCGCGGATCCTGCAGGTTGCTGAGCATTGCGCGCTTTGGTTGAGGCTCATCCGGCTCGTCCAAGATCTCCTTCGCGAGCGACTCCGCAATAAAAGTTTCAGTCTCTTCCTCAACTTTTCGGAGGAGCTCATTCAGATCGCCAATATCGTTCAACAAAGGGGCTTCTTTTCTCCCAGTTCCAGATCAAATGTTGGAGCGCCATGATGACAGTTGTGGTTGCAAACAGTCGCTCTTCTGCTTTAGATATTTTATTAGTAACCAATGAAAGACCTTGAAGTAGAGAGTCAGTCCAGTGTCCAGAGAGTCAGTCCGTTCCTGCCCGTCGTCAAGTGACGACGGGCAGTGGAATCTGTTCCTGCCCGTCGTCACTTGACGACGGGTAGTGGAATCCGCCCGTCGTCACTTGACGACGGGCAGTGGAATCCGTTCCTGCCCGTCGTCACTTGACGACAGGCAGTAGAATCCGTTCCTGCCCGTCGTCACTTGACGACGGGCAGTGGATCCAGGTCCATCACCTTTGAGCAGGCAGGACGGCGCTTTCCAGCCCGCGCTGTTTGATCTGTCATTGGTCAACTCCAAGGCGACAATCACGTGACATACGGGAATTTAGGAATCCATTGTCAGTTTGAGGCATTTTTCAGCCGGGTCAGACTGGACCCGGTGTTAGCTGTTCAGCCAGGTCGTGCAGTTCCCCAGCCGGGCGCGTGACCCGGCTGACCCGGCTCTCCAGCAGGCCCTGGGCAGGGGTTACTGCAGTTGGATCCCAGGATGGATACCCTGATGCCGTCAATCCTTTTTCTGCACCTTGTCCTCACCCACTTACTGAGGTGTGGTGAGCCCATAAGCGGGATCATTTTCAAGTCCACCTAGAGTTTTGGGGATTTCAGGGGGTGTCGGCCGTTGGGCGGTTCAATAGCCAATTGAGTCATCTTTCCAAGATTCCTTTTGAGTCTCTCTCCCCTCTCCCGGGGAGACCCACGTGACCAGTTCTGGCAGTGAGCAACAGGTACAAGTACAAGTACAAGTGTGTGTGTGTGTGTGTGTGTGTGTGTGTGTGTGTGTGTGTGTGTGTGTGTGTGTGTGTGTGTGTGTCAGACCCACGTGACCAGTTTTGGCAGTGAGCAACAAGTACAAGTACAAGTGTGTGTGTGTGTGAGAGAGAGAGAGAGAGAGAGAGTGAGAGAGAGAGGTTCTTTCCGACACTCCCCCTCCCCCCCCCCCCCTGCACCCATTCACGCACGACCGTAGCTACAAGATACAGACGGATAGCCACGCTACACGCCCATCCATTCGTGCACACCTGGCAGCACACACGCATGCACGCACACACAGACGCACACGTACACACATATACAGATACACACACACGTACATGCACGCACCTGCAGGGATATTGGCAACAGCAAGAAGAATGGCGAGTGAATGTCTCCCCCCCCCCCCCCCCTCGGCATGCAGAATCATGCCACACTCTTCAGCACCACACAGGAGAATTACCAAGCTGAGTACACCGTACCCAGCTCCCTTAGAACGACAACCAGTGTGGGATATCATCGTGGATCTCATAGAATTGACTGATACTTAACTTAAACCATGAGATGGGTCAAGTTCCAAAATGTTCAATAGTTATAAATGCAGGCAAAGATCAACTAAATGAGTTATTTCTAGAGAAGACGGATTCTTGCGCAATGAAGACAATAATTATCAGCTATAATGAATGAGAAACGAGATGCATTCGTGCACTCTAGGATCACGCTCACTATCGTGCTAGCTCAACGACCCGTATCGACTAGATACGCATAATGCCCAGTATAGGACTGTTTAAAATTTACGCCCTGTGGATCCAGCAGTCCACACCCGATCAAATGGTTAGAATATTATCAAGTGGTGAGCATACGACTATCCAACATAAGACCGGCTCAGTAATCCCAGGACGTTTCGTCAGTGAGAGTATGATAAAGATAGTAGCGAGAAAATTATATACAGTTGATGATGTGGTGGTAAACTAGATCAAGCGGACGAGCAGTTCGTTCACATGCCAGGTGAAGGAGAATAGACTTGGCCCAAAGTGACCTTGGGTCACATGACGCAGGGGGTTAGTGTGGTGTCTAGTCTGAACATCATGGAATGCATCGCTGGACGAACTGAATCAGGAAGTCGGCTGACGATGTCTTGCTGACATTGCAATGGCCTGGGATTGGCGGTAACCCGACTGCCGATGCCTTAGTGATGCTGTAGCAGCCTGGAGAGATTGTGTTATGAGAATGATCTTGTAACAGTCTATTGACAACACGGCCATTATTCGGCAAACACAGCATGGAGCTCCTTGAGCGGATGCAGCCAGCAGCGCTAGCAATCCATGCAGAATGCACAAAACAGCGCTGGACCACTAGGAGACGACAGCATACTGAACAAACGGAACCAGCCTTACTCAGTAGTAGCATGAACTAGTCTCACCGCACCATGGTTACCAGCAGTCACTCACGAAAGGTCAAGTTAGCTGTTGGATGCCACCTAGCGCTTGAAGACATCAGGACATCAATTACGGTGTTCACTCGACATGTCGGCGTGCGTGCATTTCTAACGAGACACCAATTCACGGAGATCTCGAAGCACTGGCACACTCCGATCTCACAAGATGGTGCAGAGAGTTTTCTGCCACGTGGATCTTGTCGATCGTGTCGATCGCAACGTATGCGTTTTGCTTGTGCCCGGTGATCCCACGTGAATCGCAGTCAGCGTACCGCCACGCGACACCGGTGGAGAGAACGTGCCCAGTCCCATTAGGGCCGTGGACGGGCCCGTGGACAGAAGCGAATGTCTTGGAGACGCCACCGCCGCAAGGCCGCCGACAGGTGCCGAGTTTCGCTTGCTCTGCTTTTCCGGCGTTCCCAACGGCTGCGGCATGCTTTTCGACCGAGTCGCCAGCGTTCTCACCATGGCAACCAGCGAGAGGCGCGCCATGTGGCCGAACAGCTCGTTGACGTTCTTGCCCTCCTTGGCGCTCGTCTCCATGACGATGGGCACGTTGCGACGGCTGACGCCCCAGGACTTGCGCACCAGCTGCCGCACGTCGTCAACGGCAACCTGCCGCTGCTCAAGGCCGACGTCGCACTTGGTGCCGACGATGATGATGGGCGTGCCGGAGGAACGGCGCAGACGCACCACGTCGCGGTAGATCTCCTGCAGGCTGTCTAGCGATTCGCGCGACGCCACGCTGTAGACAAGCGCGAACACGTGACCCGAAGTGATGTACAGGTGCCGGTTGTTGTTGTAATGCTGACCCGTGCCGGCCGTGTCCAGGATCTCCATGGAGACCGTGCCCAGACCGTCAACCGCAATCTGCGGACATGCACATCGGGAAAAGCCACAACGGGGGAAAAGCAGAGATTACAAATAAGCAACGTGGAGACAACAATTTTATGATAGCAATGAATATTATCAGTTCCGCGGTCCTTCCACACAACAACGAAGTCTCAAAAGAGTTTTTTCCAATAAAAATAATAAAAAAAGAAGAAGAGAAGAAATCGATTGTGGGATGACCGCGGAACTGATATTGTTCATTTCTATCATTACAGCAGAGATTGTTTTTGCTTTTGGGTTCAATATCCTTTTTTCTGGGTTTGCATTTGTATTGCATTGCTATTCATTGTGTTAATTTTGCCCGTACCAGAGGCTCGTGAAAGCAGTGGAGAAAGACTTCAAGAGTTACGTCGAGAACCGGCACAAAGTATACGACCAGATCCTATTATTTTCTTGTGGCTGTCTCGAGGAACACAGCAATGATTGGCAGATAAGCATGCAGCAGGAGTATACACTATACAGGCAAACGGGGAAGCATTCAATGCAACAACATCGCAGCAACGGCATAGTTCCATCGATAGCTAGGCTGTCACAGACAACACCAATACACAATTGTAGAGCACAATTTTTGCTTCCAATGCCACAGATCGAAGAACATGCAATGAGAGAAAATAGAACGGAAAGCATTCGTGAATGTGGAACCTGGTAGGCAGGTGAATAATATGCTAGCTCCCTGCACCCAATACATTGAACTCTGCCATAGCACTCCCTGCTCATGCAGAGCGCAGCATCAGCAGGTCGGAGGATGGGGGGGGGGGGGGGGGGCATAGCTCATAGCTCCCAGTCACAACTGACCAGTACCTTCACAGCACACTATGATAACGCCCTCTACCCATACGGAGCGCTGCACCCGCAGGTCAGGGGTTGCGTAGCCACCAGTCATAGCTGCCTCTGCACCCATACAGAGCCAATCACCTGCACGTCTGGTGTGTGCGGGGGGGGGGGGGGGGGGGGACATAGCCCCCAGTCATAACTGCCTCTGCACTCAGACAGTGCAGTGCCCCGTACCAAACAAGAATAAGAGAATGAAAAAGTGTTTACTCCGAGTTTCACGCACTAAGCAATCATCAGAAAACACTTTTTTCATAAACTTATTATTGTTTGAACTAGCTCTGCCTTTATTGCACACTCTATTGGACAGCCTGGAACTTCTCTGTTGTACAGTGTCCACTGAGTACCTGCAGGTCTGCAGTGACAGGGTACACTATGAAAACAGCATGCATTCAAGTGGAGCTCAGTTCCTGCAGGTCTGCTGTTGAATGGACAGGTGGTGCATTGTCCAATGCGTACAGAGGGGAATCCAGGCTCACTTCTGTAGGATTTATAGTCGGGTTTTGACTATTTTCAAGTATTTTGAGGCCAATTTTTGCCAAAAGCCAAGAGTTGAAATCCCAGTCTCATCATAATATTCGTTATGGACTATAGTACGCACTCGTCCTGCAGAGTGCAGCACAGTTGAGTCACAGTGTATGCAGTGGTATGCTGTGCTTGGTGAAATTCTAGCCTGGTCGCTCTTCGGCACCCGACATTACTGTAATCATGTATGTTATACAGTCAGACTTCACTTATCCGGTCCTCTTTCATCCGGGTCCCTCGCCACCTGGAAGAAAATAGCTGGTTTCAGATTTACAGCATACGTGATGCATCCAACATAACCAGTGTTCGATTATCCGGTTCCCTCGCCTATCCGGATATTTTTTGTGGAGAACGGACGTGTGCGGTCAGACTGTAATCAACACACTGGGACAATAGAGAGTACGTGATGGCACAAATAAACACCCAGTGCTGCCATGCACGTGTCCGAGTTATCGCCCACCAGTGATATGTATTGTGCTCTACAATACGGGAACTCGACATGAAGAATCCCGACAACGCTCGTCGTTTCCGGGCGTAATGCAAAGGAACCTGTAACAGTGTTCTGCTCTCCGTCCACGTAAAGAAATCACATGGAACGTGTACTGGGAATTTCCCCGTACCAAATTTGGCAGTTTTTTTGCCGGATTTAAATGATACCCAGTGGATCTGTACGTCTTTTCTTTGCGTGTGCCACAAGATGGAGAATCTGCACTCTGTAGAAGACTGGAAGTAAAACACGAGAAGCCGTAGACTCCAACCCAGACACCTGTTGTCTACGTGATTTCTCAACCTCATTACAGACAACTTCGCTAATAACGACTGCGGATATAACGACAATTCGCGAATAACGACAGAATTTCTATGCCCAGAGCAAAGTCCCATCTAACTGTAATGCACATAATGAGAGTTCGGTATGAGGACACTTCGCGAATAAGGACACTTTTTCTATACCCGCCGAGTGTCGTTATCCACAAAGTTGACTGTACGGTCTTGGAAAATTCACCTGTCTGAAACTGATCCGAAGCTGTCAATCCGAAGTTTGACAGAAAAAACCCCGCATAGGTGCAGTACTCTCGGGCGGCAGAGGACAGAGCATCCAAGAACGAACTGGCTAGGATTCACCAAGCACAGCACACCTACATAACACATGGATACACGGTGACTCAACTGCATATAGACTACTGTACACGAAGAAATAAATAATAAGAACCGGGTCTAGGCCACAGGGCTACAGGGCTGCTGGGTTTAATCCCCCCCCCCCCCTGGTCTTTGCCTCCCAACAGTTAATGCGCAGGTACAGAGCCATCGCACATCATAATTGCTTACACTGGCAATATCTACAATCTAGAGTACTGTGTAACCCCCCACTAATCTAGACTTCCCAGTTCCAGGCACTCTACCTGCCACTTTTGAGGTACAACGCCACTTCAACAATAAACAGCACCAAACAGACAACTATTTACTGGCACAAAACGTGTTAACTTGCATTTAAGATATTGCTTGCTCGGCGCTTCAGACAATTTGTATTCCGTCTTTGTCCCAACGTGCAGGGGGGGGGGGGGGTGATGCTTTGTATAAACTATACACATGCCGCATACAATTCTATATCCCTGGTCCTGGACTGGGCCATTGGTACTCCACTGCTACATGTGCCAGGACAATCACAAGTGCCTAGTATCATGCAAACATGTGCATGTGCATGTGCGTACCAGTCCACATCCCCACTCCAGTAAGCCACAGCGAGTAACAGCCGGCCACTGCACTTTAGACCATGCAAGTCAGTGGCAAGCTGAGTAACACCCAAACGACAATTATTACTAATTAGCGCAACGACAAACCCTCTTCATGGACTATCGAAAAATCACTGTTGCACCCCAAGTCCTTCAATGGCTCAAAGAATACGAGTTCTGAGGTGAAGACAGTGTCGTCTACTAGTACGTGTACTGCTAATAGTTTGGTGTGGTGCCCTCGACGTATTATTTTCTCTTTACGCGAGCTCAAACGACAGCATAATAAATTATTTGACTGCTTTCAATATATTTTCCGATTTGCTCCTTGTGACTCATAATAATGAAATTTAATACTTTGACCAGGGATTGCTGCATTAGGATCGCAGCTACGGTGTAAGGCAGTCAGTAATACTCATAGAAAGGATTTCCGGCCACATTCGTCAGGTGACGAAAAACCATTGGCTTACCGGATGTCGATAGAAGTCTTCGATCGTCGGGTCGTAGCTTGCCACGAACTCGCCGGTTGCGAAGCGTATCGCCAGCGCACTCTTGCCCACGCCGCCACATCCCATGAGCACCACCCGACACTCCTTCATGGCACGCTACGGCCACAGTGACAAGGCAAACTCTACCGAGCCTCCAGACGTTCGGCTGGCCGTCGCCGTCCTTTCCGTCCACCGTCGTCACGGGCAATATCTCGGCCTGCGCTCGGACGATCCGGACACTCCTAATTCCGCTTCCGGACAGCGCGCACTTCTGCTATTTCCACAGCAGCTCCCGCTAGTGAATCCGACACTCCGTTCACAGTTTACGTTTCGCAAGATGGCGAAAAGGCCAGAGGGCCAGGCTGAAAACCAGTCGGCGGAACGATCCGGTAGAGTATTTCAGTTCCGTCACCCATATGCACACACACAGATGCGCTCGTTTGACCACCGTAACTCAAGACTACTTGCCTGGAAAATCACACTCGTCGTAGTGTGCCTGCGTAGGCCCGGACCGTAGTGTGGCGTGGGTGTAGATCTACGACCGCAGCATAGAGCACTCCAAAATGCGGTGGAGGGTCCTGAAAACTGCACTTCGATTCGATAGGCTATGAATCAGTATGATGACTTTGACTGGCTGTGCAGTCAGTACAGACTCAGGCTTTGCAGCGCAAACTAAAAATTGTAAAAAGTTCACTTTCTACACGTTGTAGATCTACACAATCATCATTGTTGCCTGTTGCCTGTTGAGTGTTGGTGATGCTTGCATGCATGCTCTGGACGCTTATTAGTAGCGACATCATTCAGCAGTTCGATACCAAGTCTTCGGAGTCCGGGATGTCGAAAGAGATGTCTCCCAGGTCAACTCATAGAAGGCATGGCAGGCAGTCTTCACGGGGGTCGAACAGTGGAGTGCCAGTGCACGGTCTCATGGCATGCGCTCACTCAGGCTCAGAGCTTTTTGCTCAATCAGGAGGATCACTCACAAGTAACAACATATCCATGTACACACTTGCAGCTGCACTTCTTCACACTAATTACATTATATTTTTCCAGCACCGAGCCACCGGCGGCAGGAACGCTCCGCATAACAACAACCCCTGCTGAGCAGAAGAGTGTGGAGACCGGCTTTGGCGTTCCATCCGATCCTCTAATCCGGCTTAATCCCCTACACAGGCTACAGACTTCCCATAAGAATGCAAGCACGTGGTATCAGCACTGCTAGAGAAACCATTACATGAAGTACACTGTACTGAGAACTACATGTATAATGTAGTGTCTCCGCTATATCTAATCTGGTAGATGCTCGTGTGCACTTGAGCAGGCCATGAGGGCAAGACTGCGTACTACTTACCAAATTAAAATTAATCATAAGTTTTGGATTTCTTTTCTCCTTTGCTTTGCTGTGCACCTTTTTCACGTTCGTGTGCTGTCCAATAAAGGGTTTTGACTAATAATACTTCTGTAAGTTAAAGGGGAAGTGCATCGATTTTTCAAGTAGGGCTCAGATGAAAGACAATTGGATATCGGTTCCGATGGTATATCTCTCGCTTGCGTCCGGCAAGGGAAACTTGCCATATCGCCGATTTCCTGATCCCGTTTCCATGGCGACTGCAGGTGATGACGCACATTCTGCTTAGATCCGTGAGAGAGAAGGTCGATCACTGCAGAATTGTGTCATTTTCAGTTGTCTTCTTGTATTCACGAAGTGAAAGAAGTACTGTGTTCAATGCTGTTAGTGCCGTGAACTGTTTATTAGTAGTCCTATCCGTTGTGTACTGGGACGTGACACCGACAGGGGAAAGCTGGAGTGCGGAGACGTTAGCTGGCAAGCGAAAATCGTGACGAACCAAGTGCTGAAATCTTGGTTGGGACAAATCAAACGTTCAGCATTTACCTCAACCAAGGACCATGCCGTTTGCTCTTTCCACTTCCTGAAGATGGATGCGCTACCTGCTGGAGACTCTCCTATCTCTCATAACATCTTCTGAAGCTAGGTGAGACGACGAGTAGCGGAGATTAGCGAACGAAATAATGTCGTATGTTTTGAAATTTTGCTGCTCAGGAGAGATGGCATTATATGAACTTAGTCCATGTGAACTCAATCAGCCCATGAACTAACCCATGAACAAATGCTTTCCTTGCAGACGTGCATGTGTCTATCCAATCTACACGTAGAGATCATTCCATGCCCTCAGTGAATGGCCTATTTATATATTATTTGTCCATACACTTCATCTGCATGTTGTCTCTATGGAGAAGGGTATTGTTCATTTCATATGAAGAAGTTCGGGCAATAGATGCTTTCCTCTGGTACAATTCTGTTGACCTGATGTTCTTTCTAGCTTCATGGGTAGCTTAGGTGAGGTACCATCACCATCATGTTTACATGAGGGTCAAACACTGCACCGTTCTTTGTTGTGACATGACGCAAGTTATTGTAAGTGCTCGCAGACTCCATACATTCCAGCAACACCTAGCATGGTTTTCCGTCAACGTTGTGGGTGAACAAATTCCTGTCCAACATATTTTATACAGACATGCCAGCACACACCATGCACCATACACACACTTGCCCTGCCCTGTCGAGTCACAGCCACGTGGGCCCGGAGGGGCATTGGAGAGAGAATGGGAGAACGCCGCCCGATGGCGCCCGGGACACAAAAACAAGAGTTTGTCTGGCTACGTAGGGAGCAACACACATAAATACACCACACTCACACACACACACACACACACACACAAAATGAGAGTTCGGGTCATCTGCCACGAGACTAACGTACGGCCGGGGAGAGCTTCAGCAGCGGTGTCTATTCCTGCCCTGGACCGAACGGAAGCAGCGGTCGCGGGACACACAGTATTCGCCACAACACGGCCCCACTGTCGTTGGGGGCTGAGCCACACACTTGTGACGGGCAAGAACGCCACAGCGATCACACTGGCATGCTCCACGCTGCTCCTGCACACACTCTCTCTCTCTCTCACACACACACACACTCACACACACGCACACACACACACACACACACGCACACACACACACACATGCGCACATACTGCAAGAAAGAAAGAGAGCATGAGTGTCAGATTCTTGCATAGGAAGTGTTTATCAGCACACACTTATACATGCACATGCAGGCACTCAACGACCAACTATGCACCATGCCGTATGTTCGTCAAACATAAGATTGCAATACCAAAGAACAACATAAGCAAGATCACATACTTCGTTCTCCTCCAAGTGTGTCCTCCCCAGCCATTTCCCTAGGCGGAATGTAGCCTACGAAATGGTTTCTCTAGACTAGGAGAAGATGCTTGGTATTCGCCATCTCTCCTGAGAAATGTTCAGCAAAAATTTCAAAACATACCGACATTATTTCGTTCGCTGATCTCCGCTACTCGTCGTCTCACCTGGCTTCAGAAGATGTTACGAGAGATAGGAGAGTCTCCAGCAGGCAGCGCATCCATCTTCAGGAAGTGGAAAGAGCAAACGGCATGGTCCTTGGTTGAGGTAAATGCTGAACGTTTGATTTGTCCCAACCAAGATTTCAGCACTTGGTTCGTCACGATTTTCGCTTGCCAGCTAACGTCTCCGCACTCCAGCTTTCCCCTGTCGGTGTCACGTCCCAGTACACAACGGATAGGACTACTAATAAACAGTTCACGGCACTAACAGCATTGAACACAGTACTTCTTTCACTTCGTGAATACAAGAAGACAACTGAAAATGACACAATTCTGCAGTGATCGACCTTCTCTCTCACGGATCTAAGCAGAATGTGCGTCATCACCTGCAGTCGCCATGGAAACGGGATCAGGAAATCGGCGATATGGCAAGTTTCCCTTGCCGGACGCAAGCGAGAGATATACCATCGGAACCGATATCCAATTGTCTTTCATCTGAGCCCTACTTGAAAAATCGATGCACTTCCCCTTTAATGATAATGCAGTGCTGCCAAATCGTCCAATTGTACATGTACACGTACATGTACATGTATCAGACACTGTACGAAAAGTCACCCCCTGTCACTGTGGCAAAGACGATCGGATCCGAAAACCCTTTCCTGATTTCGTTCACCGGGCGTTTGGAAGCAGTGCGAATTTGGCCCATGATGTATTGATGTTGGTGAAACGACGTTACGTGCATAGCCAGCACTGTGTACAATGTACAAGTACATGTAATTTTCTTCTTACACTTACATGTACATGACTGTACAATAAGTGTTCTCTACAGAGGGGCGAGTGGTACCATTTGGCCTTTCACTAATAATACCCCGCTTGGTCGTCATGATCCATTGTTCATTGCCTCCCTGGGATAATTTCCATTTACATTGTAGTTGTTTTTTTGACTAGTATCAATTCTATCACACTTATCAATCTTCCTTATTGGCGTCACGCCATCGTTGAATGAAAGAATAACATACTATACCCCTCCATGCGCTCCTCAGCCCACGGTAGCCACTGCATTGTAGGTGTTCGTTGGGTAAAATGTGCACTGAAGACGAGTCTGAAGAACGGGAGATCGAGCGACTGTCGAATCCAGTTTCCGTCACTTCCGGCGATTAGTATAATGCTAGCTTGCGCGTTGTGGTTGCACCTCTGTCAGCACTCATAAAGACTCCAAAGAGTGTTGTACCTTCTACCCTCCCTACCCTTGGGGCTGCTCAGGCTGCACACACGGCCTACATGTACTGTACATAAGTCATTGCCGCACATAAACACTCTTGACGTGTACAATGCAGTAGTTGTGGTCTTGAGCTGGATCAGCTGGTGAAACAGCACTTTGTACCACATGAACGCCGAGTCTGGGGCCACAAACCGCTTGTCCAAGGCGTCACGTCGACTCATGGCACTTCACACCCTGAGAACAAGTCCCTTGGTAACACACGTATTCGTCGTTTAGTTCACGATGTAGTGAGTATGAAGTAACTCTCATCGCCTCAAGCCCAATCGGTGTGCACGTAGAACACTAGAATCGACAACCCACGAACGTACACACAGAATCGCAGACATGGTTGTTACGTTTGTAGCTGCGATGAAAGCTTGATCTTGAAGGACACTCAAGAGGTGACTACAGTTTCACTTGAACCTCGTTCTGAACACTACTCTGATGGACTGGTATGAAAATGCCCCTGATGAATACAGGTGCATGGCGAGGAAGGAACACTCACATTTTACTTGTATCTCCACAGCAGTCAGGCTGTTTTATACATGTACTTCGGAAGTAGAAACGAGAGATCGCTTTACACACAGATCCACACAAACCATAGCAGTTAGCTACAGTATTTGGGAAAATGTAGTCAGGTTGCTGTCTGATGATGGGTAAAACAGTGAAAAAAGTCACAGCTACAGCAGAAACGGATTCCTTTATCAAGTTTGTGTAGCAGTAACATCAAGGGAAGATCAAGTAGTATTATAGGCTAGGATAACTGTGGAGAATGACACATTGTACATGTACATGTACATGTACATTGATACTACAGTGCTGGCAACTGAAATCCGACCCCTGAGCGGTGGGTTCACATTCTTTGCGATGTGAGCGCACCGCTCAGGGGGTCGGATTTCAGTTGCCAGCACTGTAGTACAGTACTAGCCTGAAGACCGGTGTATCTCTCACATGAGCCTTTAATTGCTACGCAGAACAGGGTGACGAACACTGACGATGAATGGCATGACGCTCAAACAAACAAGGCCGGTGACGTGAGAGTGCTGGTGCCGTCCTTGTGAGCTCTCTT